GTATAAGGACGAAATGATTGTGTCTATTTGCTAATGGTCTATAATAAAATTTGTACCGGTTTTATGATTTCCAGTTAAATCATCTGAAATCATCAATCAATGATTGTTATACCACCATTAGAAACCTGGTAGCACTTGACGGCCGTTTCATCCTAGTATGGGACTCATCAGCAGTGCGCACCCACGACTCCTGTACCTCGCAGGATTCGAACCCGGGACCTTCGGTATTTTGTGCGAATGCCTAACCGTCGGACCACTGCGCCGGCATCCAACGGTGTTAATGTCTAACTCTGACTAATCTAGGGATTTTTTGCGCGACCTCTCCCATTTGTTTTCGGTAGGTAGTTACTGCCTACCACACCCGACAGGGTTGAACTCGATTGATTACATCTTCACACCATAGAACTTCGAGAATTTCCTCACGAAGCTACTAGTCACTAGTGAACAAGCAGTATTACGATATTTTGAGGCAGTGCTTCCAGGTTTCTAATGGTAGTCTAACAATCATTGATTGATGATTTCAAATGTGTAAAAACACAAACCTCCAAAAATTTTGCTCCCCAAAAAAAGATATTAAATCATCAACTACATATTCATGAATTGTTGAAAGGAAACAAGGAGGTGAACAAGGAAAAAAAGCAATTCATCACACTGGAACAACGATGATAATAATAATCATTACTATTCTTATTCTTATTATTATCGATTGTCTAGAGAAACAAGAAACAAATAAATAGTACGTGTGCTGAAGAAAACAAGTATGCAGAAACAATTTGTGCGAATTCTGCAAAAAAAATTGTAGTGTGAACAACAAATGCACCAGCACGCACTCGCACTTGCATACACACACACACATATATCTAAACCCTCATCTATAGCGGAAGACCGAAAAGGTATCACAACAAAACTAAGCTACACATACACACAGAGAGAGAATTGTGCCAATAATCATCATCATAATAATCAACAAACAAAGGTCAAAAGATGAACCACGATGCAGATGACAATAGTAACAAAATAATAATAATAGTAATAATAATCATTGTAACAATACACCATAATGATTACACGATACACAAATACACACATACACAGAGAGAGAGAGAGGAACGACAATCGATTGCGACACCTACGCCATATGATACTCACATATTTATATATATATGTGTAAGCGTAGAATAAAACCAATGGTTCTTCTACTGACAACAACAACACTTCTTCTTTTTTGAGTCTACTAGAAACATTTATTTGGAAGTAGACTATGAATGAGTGAGTGAGGAGTATCAAGTGTGTATAACAATCAATTTGTATGTATGTATGTATGTAGACAAAATTTTGTGAAATAATTGCCAAATAGTTGGTGTTGAAATCATATGAATCGATTAATGTTAGACCAGCAGTAGAAGAAACCTGGAAGCACTGAAAGACAGCCGTGGCAGAGAGCATCCACAACGCCTGCGACTCGCAAGATTCAAACCCAGGACCTTTGGTCTTGCACATGTGAACACCTAATCTCTGGACCACTGAGCCAGAATCTAACGGTGTTAATGCCTAACTTCGATCAATTCATGAAGCTGCGCAACCTCATACCACTGTATTCGATACAGTTTTGACTTTCTAAACTTTTCTCATTGAATCATATTTCTTAAATAATATCTTCCAATCCTAACCTCTCCGATTACTTCTAATACCTTAACTACCTCTTCTACTATTGGATTTGAATTGACAATTACATCTGTCTGTGCTGTTAAGGTATGGCAACATGAATTGATGTACTTAGGTACAAAGTTCTAAGTTGCATCTGACTGACTGACTGTATTCGATATTTATTGTCTACACCCGAACAGGGTGGTTACACTAGTTACGGTTAGTAAGTACTTGACCTAACTAGTTGAACCTTGTTGAGTGTGTAGGCAGTAACTACCAAAGATAAATGGGTGAAGTCGCGCAAAATCTCTAGACTGATCAGAGTTATCAGACATTAACACTGTTGGATGCCAGTGCAGTGATCTAAAGGTTAGGCGTTCGTGCACAAACCTCATACACTGTGAAAAGTAACAAGTAGAGATAGCAGTTTACAGACTAAGCCGATAAAAGAAAACGAATCGTTGATTATTTCACGTGAAGATCCGTAAAATTGACAACCTGAATTTTCTTTTCTTACAAAAAATAATTTCAGTTATATAAACAACAATCTCCATAAGTCTGTAATGAAAAAAATGTACAATGTACTGACTAATGACTAGCTTCGTTAAGAAATTCACAAAGTTCTAGTGTGAAGAAGCTGTGACAGATGGAGGTCAAGCCTGTTAGGTTTTGGCAGTTACCTATCAAAGACGATTGGTGAAGTTGCGCGAAATGCCTAGATTGACCGGAGTTAGACATTTACATCATCAGATGCCGGCCTAGTGTTCCAGAGGTTGAACGTTCGAACGCGTAATATCGTACGTCCTGAATTCCAGTCGTGATCGTGTTGTGAATGCACACTGCCACTGATGAGTAGTTCCATACCAGGACCGAACGGCCATCCAGGGCTTCCAGGTTTCTAATGGTGCTGGACTTACAATGATTAATTCATCTTAATGTATAAAAATAATCTACTGTTCTAACTAGTAGGTTTGTCATTGATTTCAAATTGTTCACAGGATGATAGGTTACATCATTTCATACAACTTTACCAGTAGTCATTAACTTGGTCACTATTATGATATGCAATGTCCCAGGTCTGAACGCGATACACACTAAGCCCGCAACATTGGAATAGAAATTCAATTTGGCCACCGAAATAAAACGTACAAACAATCGTATATATATATATATATATATATTAGTTCCTTTTCTTGACCAGTCACACGTATTCATCCTTCAGAGTATTTTTGATGGTCATAACAAATGACCTTCTCATTGGCTTACTCTATTATCTATTATGGTAGAGATAGTAGAAGTATTTGCTGTAATGGAGAAGATTAGGATTAGAAGATATCATTCAAGAAGTATGATTCAGTGAGATAAGTTTAGAAAGTCAAAACTAGAGGTGTTGAAGAATCCAGAAGATTAGGATTTGAGAGAACACAAAGAAAAAATGCACCTGCGCCATTGCAAACGGTTTTGAGCTATGTAATTCAAGGTCTCTAATCATCCGTGATCTTCGTCTCGCGAACTCCGCCCCCCACGTAGTTTACAACTACCAACTCAGCTCACTACACTTGTAAGTGACTTCATGGATTTATGCCATGTTTTGGTTTGTCTACTCCTACACTGCAAAACATAGCTCGTCGAGGCAGTCGGTGGTTAGCCATACGTAACACATGTCCCAACCACCTCAACTGATAAAGTTTTTATGTGTATGCCATTCGAAAATGACATTCAATATTGCCAAAATTGTTCACATATACACAATCTGATTTTATTATTTAATTCCTATAAACCAACAAATAAATATTTATTTATTTTTGCTTAGTTAATTTATCTATGCACTTTGAAACATTTTCCCAATTAATAATAATAGTAATAATAATAATAATACCTGTTCAATGTTCAATGTTTAAATGTTTTAATTGACATTTACTGACAAACCATCATGAATTAACTACTATACTTAAGGTTTCATTAATTATTAACCTTTCGAAATAAATAAAATATCATTTGAATGAATTACTTCGTTTATATTTTATTTTGTGATTTTATTTAAGGAAAAAATGTCCTGATTTGAATGTATGCACCAGTCATTCGTTTCGATTCAGGTTGTAGAAGATAATTTTTTAAAATTGTAGTTCTAGATAATTTGATGCCAATAAGTACCCCATCTCTTTTGATGCAAAATATCATCTTTTAATATGGGATATTAATGATGGTTATTCATTGAACGAAATGATATTTGTATGTTACTAGTAGTATTCGATCAAAGATATATCTTAGAATTATGGTGTCATGTATCTTAAGATAATTGAGTAAGCAATACTGTCATTAGGAAACGAGTACTAGGTAAGGATGGCAAATCAATAGATGAAATAGTGAAACTTCATTTATGTAACCAGTAACCTACGAATATCTTCTAATCTCACTGGCTATGTTTCACAGCCATAAAGTAAGACGGAGCGAACTACTGCGCAGTACACTCGTCTTTTAGTCAGCTAACGGATATCTCGCCTACGCCATAAGTGACGCAGGTTGGCAAAAGCCAATCACCGATTATTATCATCTCATGGACCCTAACAAGATAGTCGACACCTACAGATATGACTCAGCCCACTTGTCAATGACTTCATGGATTTCTACCATGTTTTGGTTTGGCCGCCTCTAACTTTCTTCCAACATACTCCTACACTACAAAACAAAGCTCGTCGAGGCAATCGGTGATTAGGCATACGTAACACATGTCCCAACCACCTCACAACTGATGAAGTTTCACTACTTCATTTATTGATCTGCCATCCTTACCTAGTACTCGTTTCCTAACAAATGCATTGCTTACTCGGTTGTCTCAGGATACACGAGCAATCCTACAGAGACACCTGTGATCGAATACTAGTGACGTACGAATATCTTCTACTCTCACTGGTCATGTTTCACAGCCATATAGTAAAACGGAGAGAACTACTGCACAGTACACTCGTCCTTTGGTTAGGAAACGGATATCTCGTCTACACCATAAATGACGCAAGTAGGAAAAAGCCATCTGAACCTTCTGTATCGGTGCTGGGATTTCGTCAGTCACCAGGTCATCGTTACTTATGAGACTACCGAGATAAGTGAAGCGGTCAACTGCTTCACTCCTTATTAACAAATTGAATGAACTAAAACAAAGATTTAAATATCGAACCAGTTGGCTAAAAGTTGGACATTATGACGACTAGTAAACAACTATGGATGGTACAATAAACTTATAACCAGAATTGATCTCAATCAGTTTGGAAATGTATCAACGTTGTTTTTTGTTGTTGACTTGATTGCTTCGCTAAAAGCAGTGTGAACAACGCAACGAAGAAGAAGGAGAGAAAAAGACATCCGTGAGGTAAGGTGAGGTGTGACATTTTTAGGGTCGACCTTATCTAACCTCTTCCTTCCTTGTCAGAAGGCAGCATCGCTAAACATGTTGGTTGTCCAAGAGAAACACCTTACTGCTGTTACATCCCTCTGCAGTCAGCAATACGACTTCGCCCTCAGACCTTGAGTAGCTGCTTTAAGTCTCATCGTTCTCCAATCGACCTGCCTGGCATGGTAGAAACTACAGGAACATATGTTCCAGCCAATATAGCTCAGTTGGTTCATGACGATAGGCAAGCCCGACCACTACATCAAGGTAGCACCTACGATCGGGCATGAAAATGATGGTGCGAGAATAACAACCACATAATAAATGAAAGTGTATGCCTGTCAACTGTAACACAAACGAATCAATAAATATATATATTGAACAAGACCATTGATTAATATTCATTTACAGGTGATGCATTTAAAGAAGGGAGTGTGTGTGTGTGTGTGAGGGAGAAAGAGAGAAAACGGATAGATGGACAGTTTTCTAGAAAAAACACATAGCTGTGTGTACAGCAATGGTAATAGTAATCATCAACATAATCTTTAAACAAATCAAGTCAAACAGAGAAGAATTAGTTAATTTAAAATAGTGATTCAAAACAGAAAAAAAGACAGAGGATATTGAACTTCAGAGTGTGTCGCTAGTGAAGTTCTGTGGGGTAGAAGTAGCTAGCTACGTCAGTACAGATTGTGTGATACATATCGACATATAGCAAACGAAGATGAAGTGAGGGTAAAATACGCAATGACAAACATTCAACTGAAGATAAGCGAATGCGATTGATTAATGGAACGTCTAAATGCCCTCGAACGGTTGATAGTAGGAAGATTTCGCCACAGCTCTTTAAATGGTTTTATATAGCTATGCGTGTGTATTCCCTTCCACAGTGTGGGGAACTGCGAAGTGACATTCGCCCTCATACCCGTAACAGTACAAGAAACAAAATCGGTCACAATCAAATCCTTCTTACACCCCTAACGATGACTAGCAAGGAAGTCATATTCATTACTCTACTACTTTTCAAGAGTATTGTTAATGAAAACCGAGAATTCGACAGTTAAACCGGGTTGATGGATATGTAGAATCCATCAAGGAGAGTTGGAAACCGACGATATAAAACCAATGGCGGTGCACACGAAACAAAGAACGTATAAACTTTTGGTTGGTCACCGGCTACCATGGTAGCGCATCTTGTGACGTTGACCAATTTGCCCTATGGATTAAACCTTTAGGTAAAAGGCATGAGGAACGGATGCTTAAGAAAACCATATGCTTCACTTTAGACACATGGGTAGGAAATCAACGCATTGTGTGGCGCATAAATGTTTAGGCGCCCTTTTGTACCAATAATAATGAACAATGCCTCAGAGTGATCTACAATTAAACACTACTTATTTAGGCATACAATTAAAATGATCATTTTACGGGGGGGGGTTGTGAAGAATTTTAGAGTTTTATTTGAAATTATAAAAACTAATCCTTGTTAGACTGTCATTGAAAAAACATGGAAGCATTAGTCAGCTGTTTCGTCCAATTATGAAACTACTCATTAGTAGCAGTGTATAGTCATGATTATGCAAGCAGGAATAGAAATCAGAGATTTCTGTTTCGTGTACGAATGTTTAACTCCAATCTTGATCATTGAAGTTGTCATCGGAATGATCACTGAAAAATCAAAATGTTATAATTTGAACTGTTTTCATTTTATGGGGACTAACTAGTTGAGCAGTCAGTGTACAATAAACGAAGACAGACAGACAGACAGATATAACGCAGGTTGCCATACCACATCAGCACAGAGACGTAACTGTCAGTTCAAATCCAAGAGTGATAGGGATAGTAGAATTATTAGCAGTAATGGAGAAGATTAGGGAGCGAAGATATGATTCGAAGAGTATAATTCAGTGAGATAAATTTGTAAAGAGAAAGATAGAGATTATGAGGAATTCAGAAGGTTAGAATTAAAAAGCACACAAAGAGTGGATGCACCTGCGCCATTGCAAACGATTTTGAGTCATGTCATTCAAGGTCTCTAACCATTGGTGACTATCGTCTCGCAGACCCCAACCAGGTAGCCTACATCTACCAACATGACTCAGTCTACTTGTCAGTGACTTCATGGATTTTTGTCATATTTTGGTTTGGCCGCCTACAGTAAACGAAGAATACTAAACTATAAGAATTGAACGGTCCAACTTGTCATACCACAACATTAGCGCACAGAGATACAATCGTCAATTCAAACAACAATAATAATAAAGATGTTTAAACATAGAAAACACATCAATGATTTATCATTGACTAACATTAAACAATATGAACTCACCATTCTCAGCATATTCCATGACTAGATAGACATGACGTTCAGATTCAATTACTTCATATAAACGTACTAATCAATGATAAAAAATAACAATAATAATTAATTACAAATTATTGATCAACAACACTAATGATGATTTTGAGAATAGATGATAAAAACACAAGATTTTTCATGATACAGTTACAGTGATGACTGTTGATTACAGTGAAAACATGAATAAATGATTGTTAGACAACCATTAGAAACCTGGAAGCATTAGACAGCCATTTAGGTCCTGGTATGGGACTCCTTATCAGTGGCAGTGCGCATCAAAGACTCCTGCTACTCATAGGAATCGAACCCACGACACGTAACCTTTGGACCAGTGAACCGCCATCCAACGGTCTTAATGTCTAATAACTTTGATCAATCTAGGGATTTTGTGCAACATTATCCAGTTCAATCCTGTCGGGTGTACTCAATAGCTACCAAAAGACAATGGGTGAAGTTACCCAAAAATCCTTAGATTGGTCAGAGTTAGACATTTACACTGTTGAATGCCGGCCCAGTAGTCCACAGGTCAGGCAGAGATGCGTAAGAGCAAAGTTCCTGGGTTCGAACCCTGCGAGCAGCAAGAGTGGTAGATGCACAATGCCAATGATGAGTTGCATACTAATACGAAACGGCCGTCAGTGCTTCCAAATTTCTATTGGTGCTCTAACAATGATTGATTCCCAATTTCAGTAGAAAACAAAAATATGTCTATTAAAATATCAGTTAGCCTTATTCACAATATTCTACTGTTGTTTCAAGAAGTCTACGTGAAACGGAGATACACTTTAAAGTAAAATAAACAGAACGTTCAATAATGATGAATTTTATTAATGTTACTGCCGGTCTCAAGCCAGGAATAAAGGAGGAGGGTTAGGCATGGGGGGGGGTTAACGACCCCCAATATCATAGAAATGCAACTCAAGAATCACATAATTAAAAAGTAGAGCCTCCAAATAGCCTGGAACAATCGAGAATAGGGATATACTCACTTCCCTCCCAAAATGCTCAGCGATTTCTTGTGACACAAATGTTATTTACGAAATCGACAGCACGAAAAGCAAATATCCAGTCAATACGTAAACTCTGCTAACTGATATGAAGGATTTATCTATAACAGTTGGAAAATCCTCATTCGAAGCCAGTGCATATGGATTCTACCATCCTCACAGAGCAAATGTCGTAAGAATTAATTGTTGGTCAATGTCAACCAACGAAATGTATCTCCCAAATATGCTGCACAAACTTGTAAATTAGACCATTACGTCACAAGATCAGCAAGTGAATCGTTAATACAATCACCAACAGTTTCTGTTTGGTCACCTGAACGGAGTAGCCCAATCAATTTTTAAATTCAATGATCTATGTGGCGCATTAGATATTTAGGTGCACCTTTTTCAGTCAGCTACAATGTAGAATTTCATATGTACGTACATCTGTTCAAGTCGCCATAACATATTAGCATAGAGATGCGATGGTCGATTCAAATACCGTTGTAGTAGAGGTGGTAGAAGGTTTTGCGGTTATCAAAAAGATTGAGGTTAGAAAAACTTATTCAAGCAGTATCCTTCACAAAAATAAACTTGAAAAGAGAAGGTGCTGGGGTCATGAGAGAACACAAAGATTGGACGCACCTGTGAGGTGACAAACGATTTTGAGTCATGTCATTCAAGGTCTCTAACTGTCGCTGACTATCATCTCGCGTATCCCAACCAGGTAGTCTACACCTACCGACATAATAATAACTAGACTGCATCTCTGCAGCTAGTAGGAGACCACCGAGTTAGGGGTAGTCTCCCTATAGTACATGGCGAGTAAGAGCATGTGCATGTCGCGAAACACAAATGCCAGTACACACATACATGTCATATACCATTCGATAGATAATGATTAGAGAAGCTAAATAAAACAAACCCTGTAGAAAACTATTACTCCTATCAAAAGTTATTATAAAAATTCTGACCTAAAATTTTCCTATAGAAAATGCCTATGCGGACTTAGCCGCAAAATTGGCAATTTTTGGTTGATCCACTTGTTCGTGACTTCATGAAACTGTGCCATGTTTTGGTTTGGCCAGCTCTAGCTTTCTTTCAACCTACCCCCCCCCACACACACACACACCACAAAACATAGCTCTCCAACTACCCACTCGAAAACATTTTTACATCCCACTTCGACAACCAGGAATTCAAGTAGACGGATAATTTGAGCCTATGTAACATTTACTTTAGCCTACCTACCTAGTCTATAGTGTCAATAATAATAATAATAATACCCACATTATCAAAAATTCATTTGTTATTTGTTGCTACCTAGTACATTCTGTTTAACCGCATAGAGAGGTAGAAGTAATCACTATGTGTTGGCTGTCCCTACCCCTCATACATTATTCGACAATATATTCACAATGGAAAAACCATACAAGCTGTTTCAACTTGAAAAGTTCAGTGTAACAAAACACACACACACACACTAAAAATACTGTTAAACTGATTATTATTATTATGCTGCACATGTTGTCAGTCAATGCCACAATTTTTAAAATGAATTAAAACCAATTTCTCTTTTTTTTGAAAAAAAACCCCATTATCATCTCATTAAAATATGATTTAAATGAATTGACAATATAAAAAAATAAAAAGTGGAAGAGAAGAGAAGAGACAAGAGAAAAGAAATTAGACACATTTCACAAATCAATAAAAAAGTCAATAACACTGTGGTAGTTGAAATCAGTCAGTCAGTCAGTCATTCAAATACAATGTAGTACTTCGTACGTCCGTAAGTGCATCAGTTCAAGATGCCATACCACATCAGCACAGAGACGCAATAGCCAATTCAAATCCAAAGGTAGTAGAGGTAGTAAAGGTATTAGAAGTAATCGGAGAGGTTAGGATTAGATAAGTTTAGAAAGACAAAACTAGAGAGGTTGAAGAATCCAGAAGATTAGGATTTGAGAGAATACAAAGAATGAATGCCCCGGCGCCATTGCGCATGGTTTTGAGATATATTATTCAGGGTCTCCAACCATCGATTATTATCATCTCGCGGACCACAACCAGGTAGTCGACACCTAACAACATGACTCAGTCTGCTTGTCAGTGACTTCATGAATTTGTGTCATGTTTCGGTTTGGCCGCCCTTAACCTTCTCCCAAACTACTCCTACACTACAAAACATAGCTCATTGAGTAGTAGCAATTATTAACTAAGACTATACGCCGATGACATAGTTCTGTTTGATGAAGACGCTGACAAAATGCAGAGTCTTTTGACTACCTTAAACAATAATGCAAGCATGTTGGCCTGCATCGACACCTGAACTAGTGTAGTGGTGATAGGTAGGTGAAGTAGTTGAGCATGTTGACCACTTCACTCATCTTTGCAGTCGAACTCATCAGTAGTAGTAACAACATGAATTCAGTGAAATATTAATAATCCAACACGCATTTTCTATGTTTTTGAAAAATGTTTTCGAGAAAACGAACTACAAAGCAAAGCCACCATGATGTGTTGATCATCAAGAATAAACAATGTTGAGGGCATATATAGCCAGGCGTGCAACACAAACTAATACATCGTTCAGCTAATCTCAGTCAGTCAGCAACAACGTAGAACTTCATACGTACGTACGTACGTACGTACGTACATCAGTTCAAGTTGTCATACCACCCACCACATTCACGAATTGTCAATTCTAAAAATTCCATAATAGTAGCGGTAGTAGAAATACTAGCTGTTAACGGGAGATACTATTAAAAAAGTATAATTCAGTGAAATAATAATAAGTTTAAGAAGAGAAAGATACACGGGGAAGAAGAGAATTCAGAAGATTAAAATTTGAGATTATTATTATGATTAAATTAGAGCGGAAGTAAAACAAACATATGGTTAAAATTAATATAAAAAAACAATTAAAATGTTCCTTCATTTGTTAATCGATCAAAATTTTACTCCATAAGAAATATCAAGTAGTAAAACTCAATAAAACCTGCCCCTCTCGTAACACTACTTTCTCCATTCTTATTTAATTTTATCATAGACATGCTCCTAGAAATAACCTTATCCTCGTCTGAATTTTCAGGAGTAGACCTTTTACCAGGTGGCTCGCTTATTGACTTAGATTATGCCGATGACATTGTCCTACTTGGTGAAGACTCTGACAAAATGCAGAGTCTTCTTACTACCCTAAGCAACAATGCAAGCATGTTCGGGATGCGGTTCTCATCCTCGAAACGCAAAATGTTGCTCAAAGACTGGGTTTCATCGGCAATTGAACTAGTGATAGGGTGTGAAGAAGTCGAACGTGTAGACCACTTCACTTATCTTGGGAGTCTCATCAGTGCCGATGACCTGGTGACTGACGAAATCTCAGCACGGATACAGAAGGCTCGATTGGCTTTTGCCAAACTGCGTCACTTATGGCGTAGGCGAGACATCCGTTCGCTGACTAAAGGACGAGTGTACTGTGCAGTAGTTCGCTGTGAATCATGGCCGTTAAAATAGATGTTGGTAGGTTACTAGTATTCGATCATAGATGTTTAAGAAGCATTGCTCGTATATCCTGGGACAACCGAGTAAGCAATGCTATCGTTAGCAAACGAGTACTAGGTAAGAATGGCAGATCAATAGATGAAGTAATGAAACTTCATCAGTTGAGGTGGTTGGGACATGTGTTGCGTATTCCTAACCACCGACTGCCTTGAAGAGCTTTGTTTTGTAGTGTAGGAGTAGGTTGGAAGAAAGTTAGAGGCGGCCAAATCAAAACATGGTAGAAATCAATGAAGTCACTGAGAAGTGGACTTAGCCATGTCGGTAATTGTCGACTACCTGGTTGGGGTCCGCGAGATGATAATAACCGATGGTTAGAGACCTTGAATGACATGGCTCAGAATCGTTTACAATGGTGCCAGTGCATTTATCCTTCGTGTTCTATCAAATCTTAATCTTCTGGATTCATCAACTTTGTAAACTTTTCTCACTGAATCATACTTCTTTAATAATATCTTCTAATTCTAACCTCTCCGATTACTTCTAATACCTTTACTACCTCTTCTATTATTGGATTTGAATTGACAATTATATCTCTATGCTGATGTGGTATGGCAACATGAACTGATGTACTTACGTACGAAGTTCTACGTTGCATCTGACTGACTGACTGACTCTCGTAACACTAACTCCTTGACACATCAACATTTCCATTGATGACTACTAGCAACATCATCCACTCCCGTAAAATCACACAAGCCGTTAGTATGAATGTAGTGCCTGAGAGCGCTTGATTTTAAATCAATGTTATTTATGGTTAATATTTTATTTAGACACTGGTAAACATTGGTAGAAAAAACGGGGCACCTAAATATATAATACGCCACACAGATCAATGGACTTGAGAGTGAACTGGGCTACCCCGTATAAGCGGCCAAACAGAAACTGTTAGGGGTTGGGATTAAAGGTTCACTCTTTTATCTTTTGACCTAGTGGTCTAATTCACAGGGTAGTGGAACGATGTTACGAGATATAGTTCAATGGTAGACAGTGACCAATACTCGGTTCTTGAGTCATTCATTCCGTGAGGATGATAGAATCCATGTACAATGCCTTAGGTTTTGAATGAGGACTTTTCAACTCTTCTAGATGGATCCTTCATAAGAACTAATCCAGTTTACGCTTCCACTGGATATTTTCTTGTGTCATGAGAAGTCTGTGAGTAGGACTTTTTGTAGGCAATGGCTAAATGAAAGCACTAGCAGATAGAGAACAGAGAATTCTCCTTACTATCGCCTGTACCAGGGTATTTGAAAGCAAAGCTTTACAATGAAAGGGTAATATTAACTAACTGTTTAAAATGAAATATTTAGAACAAAGTTTGAATATAAAATCTACTCAATTAAACATTGAATAGTTTAAACCACTAACTCCGCTCGAAGCCCTACTGGGGCTACTTTCGGTCGTAAGCCCGAATAAAGGAGGTGGATTGGACATCGGGGTTAGCGACCTCATCCCGTAGAAAACGAACTCACTAAAAACAACGCTAACCAGTTTAAACCACCAAGCTATGTGTGCACTAACCCACTAACCCAATAACTAGTCTCAGGACAAATCTGCATGCAATCAAACTGAGATCTTATCAACCGTATCTCTAGTCAGTTAGTTTCATGTTAAGAACGCAATCGAAACTAGACATCTCTACAATTTAAATGTAATGCGGTACGTATCATAGACAATGCAACAGAAAGTCACTAACGTTAGATCTCAAGGTAATTAGTAAGAAGTTCCTAAGAACCTGAAAAGCATGAGTTCGTTCGCACTCGCATAACTCAGTGGTATAGCTCGCTATTATATGTGCAATTACTTAACTGAGTAACCATATCACTAATCAACGATGGGATTATGTACCAATGATTATGATTACTATATATGCAATTGACACAGATACAACGCAGAACTTCGTACGTACGTACATCAGTTCAGGTTGCCATGCCCCAACAGCATAGAAACGCAACTGTCAGTTCAAATCCAAGAGTGATAGCAATAATAGAAGTATTAGCAGTAATGGAGAGAAGATTAGGGAGCGAAGATATAATTCGATAAGTATAATTCAGTGCGATAAATTTAGAAGATGCCATCTATCTATCACCTCAAGATATTGGAACCGATGGGCGCCATTGGTTTAAAATCAAAGTTTTCCAGCTTGCCAAGGTAGAGATCATCTGCACCCAAAAAACCGGTTTTAACGCTAGTTAGATACTCGCCTTTCTTCTTCTTCTCAATTCAGTGAACAATGTCCCCACATCACAAGAAGGAAGTGAGCAGAAAACCCCCTAGCAAGATGGATCTCTCATACTCCCCCCCCAAAACCCAGTTTCATCTACTGCCAAATACTCGTCTTTCAGTCCTCCTGATCACATCATGAACAATGTTTCCCCCCTCACCCATCACAAGAAGGTGGTGGCTGCTATGTATGCATGGTCAGTTAGAGAGCAGCAGTTCGTCAAAGAATCGACTCTCCTTCTTACTCTCAACCATACCCATAGCATTCATCATATAAACTATATATAATTGACGGATTGTAAACGATTACTCTATACTACTACTACTACTACTACTAATAATAATAATAATAATAATAATAATAATAATAATAGCGATAATAATAATAATAATTAACTATAAATAAAAATGTATCTTACCAATATTTGGATGATTTAACATTTTCATAATATTCACTTCACGAAATAGCTTTGATAGATTTAAAAGAAAAAATTGAAAAAATATACATACATATATATATGTATGAATGAAAACGAATGAACACTGTATACATTACCAATAAATAAAAAAGCGAAATTCTCCGCTGCAACACAACATGCACTAACCAAATCACTCTTGATGGAGATGCCTTGGAGGACGTTAACATCTTTACATATCTTTGCAGCCTTATCGACGAGAAAGATGGATCGGATGCAGATGATAGGGATCTGATCGGCAGCGCAGGGTTTGCATTTCAACAGTTGAAAAATATCTGGAACTCCAAACAACTTTCAACCAAAACCAAAATCAGGATTTTCAATACAAATTTCGAGACAGTTCTACTGTATGGAGAGGAAACTTGGAGAACTACGAAAGGCATCATCCAGAAGATACAAGTGTTTATGAACAGTTGTCTAAGCAAAATACTTCGGATTCGTTGGCCAGATACCATCAGCAACAATGTACTGTGGGAGAGAACAAACCAAATTCCAGTGGAGGAGGAAATCAGGAAGAAGCGGTGGAAGTGGATAGGACACACATTGCGAAAAGTACCTAACTGCCTCACAAGACAAGCCCTCACATGGAACCTTTGAGGCAAAAGGGAAAGAGGAAGGCCAAGGAACACATCACGCCAAGAAATAGAGAAAGATATGAGAAGAATGAACAAAAACTGGGCAGAACTGTTAAGGGATGCCCAGGACAGAGTTGGTTAGAGAAAACTGGTGGGCGGCCTATGCTTTATTGGGTGTAACAGGCGTAAGTAAGTGAGTAAAAAGAATATTAGCGTAAGGGGGGGGGTGAATAGTCGTTAACAATGGAATTCAAGATATGCGTGTTTTGTCCTAATCGGGACTTGTCAGCTGAATGTACCAATCACATCCTAAGGTTGATGTCCAGTATGGGACTCGAACCTTAATTACGCCTGTTATCCCCGGATGGAGTATAAGCCGCTGACTAGTATTGTCCAACTTACTCTCTCTCTCTCTCTGTGTCCTAGACATCCCTTTCTAATAATGTATTTTATATTTTCTAAATAAGTTACATAGGATTTTTCTTTACAATTTGAGATGTATTCACACTAGTTACCGTTATGTAATCAGCATTTAAGGCCTGTTAAAAATATGCGTTGATCTAAGTTAACACATGACATTCGGATGACAAGATGAAATCGAGAAAATACACAGAACGTATGTACATCACAGTTCAAGTTGCCATACCACACCAGGAATACAAAGATGCAATAGCGGTACAGATAGTAGAAATATTAGCAGTAACAGAGAAGATTAAGGTTTGAAGATGTTATTGAAGAAGTATAGTCTAGTGAAGTAAACTTAAAAAGAGAAAGATATAATATACACAGGGAGAAGAATTTGGAAGATTATAATTCGAGAAAACACAAACCATGATTTTACCAGCACCATTGCATACAATTTTGAACCATTTCATTCAAAACCTCTTACCACCGGTTCCTATTGTCTCGTGGACCCCCAACCGGGTAGTCTATACCTACTAACATGATTCACTTGTCAGTGACTTCATCGACTTGTGTCATGTTTTTGGTTAGGCCACCTCTAGCTTTCTTTCATCCCACCCACATATATCAGACACCGTTCGCCAGGATATACGTAACACATGTTCCAATCACCTCAGCTGATGAAGTTTCATCACTTAATCTATTGATTTTCCATCCTTACCTAATACCCTTAACCTAAAAACAGCACTGCTTACTCGGTGGTCGAAGGATAAATGAACAATGCTCCGAAGATACCTGTGATCGCAAACTAGCAACCTACGAATATCCTCTAATTTTACCGGCTATGTTTCACACCCAGACAGCAGGACAGAGCGAACTGCTGCGCAGTACACTCATCCTTTGGTAGACTAACACATATCTCCTCACCTACGCCACACCATAAGTAAAGCAGATTAGCAAAAGTCAACCGAACCATCTGTCTTTTTAAAAAAAAAACTAAACTAAAATCCCTCCACTGATAGAAACAATAGAAACGAATACTCGTATAAAAAATATTGAATTCAACTAGATTAAAACCCACAACATGAAATGAACAAAGTATCTATCTATGTGTTTATTTACTAAATCCATGATTAAGTACTTGCGAAAGATAGAGAAAAAAATATGCACATATACTACACATTTGTTACTTTTTCCTCCCCACTTCCCCGTTCAATAGTTTCAGCATAGACAGAGAGAGAGAGAGAGCGCGAAAATCAAAAGGCGCATTTTACTACTACTCAACACACCTCCAATGTGAATAAACGCAGACAATTACAAATTGTTTAATAATAGTAATGGTTACTAAGTGTTCATAATGTAACGAAATCATGTGTAGTGCTTAGAGATACACACACATGATCCAATCACCAACTTAAAATAAGAATAAGGGCGAGTGAGATAGATCAATAATAAACACACACCTCTAAAGGTGTAGACACTACCACTGGAGGACGGGAAAAACAAATACGATGAATAAGCTAGACTGTCAAGACCCGACAGAAGCTGCTACCTTGATGTGGTGGTCGGGCTTGCCTATCGTCATGACCGAACCGAGCTATATTGGCTGGAACATATGAGCCTGAAGGTCCTACCATGCCAGGCAGGTCGATTAGAGAACGATGAGACTAAAAGCAACTACTCAAGGTCTGAGGGCGAAATCGTACTGCTGACTGTGATGGAGGGATGTGATAGCAGTAAGGTGTTTCCCTAGGACAACCAGCATCTGCAACGATGCTGCCTTCTCACAAGAAAGGTAGCGGTTAAAAAGGGTCGACCCTAAAAATGTCACACCTCACCCTACCTCACGGATTTCTGTCTCCTGCGGTAAGGGTGCCCACTAAGGGCTTTTATCAAGAGCGGAGCTAATCCTCAAAAAACCTTTCATAAAAAGGCCAAGCGTGACCGGCCTCAAGCAGTTGTCCCTTGGGCTTTGCGGTCACGCTCCCAGGTCTCTAAGACCAAAGCTAATCTATCTTCCTTTTCAGGCTCCTCAAGAAACCGGGAAGTGACAACCGCCCTCGTACCCGTAACAGCACACACACACTATCAAGAAAAAGATAATTCCCGAAATAATGAAATCAATATTCGCTTTCCGTGCTTATTTAAAAATGAACATATTCACTATCATCATCAAGCTGGGATGCATGCGCGGCGATGAACTATGGAAGCACAGTAGTAGTCATCAACCGAACTCTCACACACACACACACTTGTTCATTACATCAGAGCTAGAAAAATCAATGTTACACTAATTGAATGATATTAAAAATTGATTTTTTGTTTCTTCTTGTAATGAAATGCATAAAAGTTCTTTCTCTGTATGTGTGTATGTGTGTGTGAGTGTGCGTGAGCACAAAAAACGTGAGTGACAGCTATAAAATGAGACAAAGAGACACAGAGTGAGAGAGAGAGAGAGCAAGCAAGCAAGTAACACGTGTCAAATTGATTTTATGGTAATTAGTAGTAGTAGTAGTAGTACTGTTGGTTACTCTGTTATCAGTATTATTGATTTTTTGTTTGATAGACAGCTGCTCTTTGGATCTTCGAATAATATCGATAGGAATTTTGTGATACACAACACAGTTTAGGCCAATAGGTCTTCATGCATTCACTCACTCACTCTCTCTTTATCTCTCTCTCTATATATATACCCGCTTATTTTCACATTCATATATATACAAGAGATAAAAGAAAGAATCAGACAAGTGAACAGTGAAATAATATCCGATGACAAAAAGGTAATAACAAAACAAAAGGAAGATAGACAACTACAACTTCAGGAGAAAATTAATAATGTACGGTGAGAGAGAGAGAAATGGTCTATAACACCTGTTAGTAATTTTTCAATAAAAAGTTATGAAGATTATTAAATTTTACACATTGAAATCATGAATGGGGGTCATTGTTAGACGACCAGACAGACAGACAGATACAACGAACTTCGTACATACATAAGTACATCAGTTCAGGTTGTCATACCACATTAGCACAGAGACGTAACTGTCAGTTCAAATCCAAAAGTGATAGCGATAGTAGAAGTATTAGCAGTAATGGAGAAGATTAGGGAGCGAAGATATGATTCGAGAAGTATAATTCAGTGAGATAAATTTAGAAGGAGAAAGATAGAGATTATGAGGAATTCAGAAGGTTAGAATCAAAAAGCACACAAAGAGAGTGGATGCACCTGCGCCATAGCAAACGATTCTGAGCCATCTCGTTCAAGGTCTCTAACCATTGGTTACTTTCGTCTTGCGAACCCCGACCAGATAGCCTACATCTACCAACATCACTCAGTCCACTTGTCAGTGGCTTCATGCATTTCTGCCATGTTTTGGTTTGGCCGCCCTAACTTTCTTCCAACATACACCTACACTATGAAACATAGCTCGTCGAGGCAGTCGGTGGTTAGACATACGCAACACATGTTCCAACCACCTCAACTGATGAAGTGTCACCACTGCGTCTATTGATCTGCCATTCTTACCTATCATCCGTTTCCTAATAACAGCATTGCTCACTCGGGTGTCTCAGGATATACGAACAATGCACCGTAGACACCTATGATCGGAAACCAGAAACCTAAGAATATCTTTTACTCTTACTGGTCATGTTTCACAGCCATAAAGTAAGACGGAGCGAACTACTGCACATTAAACTCGTCCTTTAGTCAGCAAACGGATATCTCGCCTACGCCATAAGTGACGCAGGTTGGCAAAAGCCAGTCGAGCCTTCCGTATCCGAGCTGAGATTTCGTCAGTCACCAGGCCATCGGCACTGATGAGACTTCCCAGATAAGTGAAGCGGTCTGCACGTTCAACCATTTCACTCCCTATCACTAGTTCAGGTGCCAATACAACCCAGTCCTGAAGCAACATTTTGCATTTCGAGGATGAGAACCGCATCCCGAACATGACGGTATTGTTGCTTAGAGTAGTAAGAAGACTCTGCATTTTGTCAGCGTCTTCGCCGAATAGAACCATGTCATCGGCATATTCTAGGTCAATAAGCGATTTTCCTGGTAGAACAGTCGACTCCTGAAAATTCGGAGACCACCCTCAGAAACCTGAGGGATTTAAACTGTCAGTTACGTCTCTGTGCTAATATGGTACGGCAACCGGAACTTATGTACTTATGTACGAAGTTCTACGTTGTAACTGACTGACTGATTAGAAACCTGGAAGCATTGGACGGCCATTTAGTCCTGGTATGGGAACTCAGCCTGTCAGTACCAGGAGTCATAGATGTGCACTGCCACTGATGAGTCGAGTCCCATACGAGGACGAAATGGCCGTCCAGTGCTCCTGCGTTTCTACTAATGGTGGTCAATCTGTTACTAAAATAATATTTCAGTGTGTTTGTGAGAAGAGTTTCATCATAGCTTCGATTAATACGTCTTTAATATAATTAAAACTAATATTCCAATGAGGATGACAATATCGACAACAAATGCTTCAAGCCTTTTGGGTTAGACAGCAAAAAAACATCTGTTGATTTGAACCATCTTAATAGGTGTAGGCTTTTTGCTTGACTGACTGGCGCGTAGGCAATATTCACGTCGGCTGACATGATTCAGACTAAACGCACATTCATATTTACTCTTAATTATTTTTTACAGTTTAGAGTCACAATCTTCAATAGGAATGTCAAGACAATTCTACTGTATGGCGTAGAAACTTGGAAAAAACTACCAAAGCCATCATCTAAAAGATACTAGTAGTTATTAACAGTTGTCTAAGCAAAATACTTCGGATCAATTGGCCAGACACTATCACCAACAACCTACTGTGGGAGAAAACAAACCAGATTTCAATGGAGGAAAAAATCAAGTACAAGCAGTGGAGGTGGGTGAGACACATATTGAGGAAAGCACTCAACAACGTCACAAGACAAACCGTCACTTGGAATCCTCACGGCCACAAGAAATGAAGAACACATTACCCTGAGAAATGGAAACAGACTAGAGAGGAAGGTCCAGGACAGAGAGTAAACTGAAGAATGCTAGTCAGCGGCCTATGTTCCATTGGGGCTGATAGGAGCAAGTAAGTAAGTATGTATCTTGATATGATGTGGCAAGCTGAACTGAGGTACATATTTACAACATTGTACTACGTCGGTTATAATTGACTGCAGTGATAGAAAAGATAACAAATTAATGATTTTTCAACGTTCAAGTCGGATTTCCGTTTTTTTAACAGTTAAGGTAGAAGAATCACTAGCTTTCTTATCTACTAAAATAACTTAACTTAAAGCTTGACCGACAGATCACATGACACATACAAAACACCAATCCGAATTATGTTAGCGCAAAAAAAAACACCGTGAGTCAGTCGACAACTCAATCATCACTTCTCATTTACTAATCCCACTTCTCAGTTTAGAAGAAGTCAATAGCCAGCCTCCACAATATTTGTCATATGCATAAATAGACATAAACAGCATGCCAGACTACATCAACATCATAGAATAATAAATGCGAAAACACATGTATACATGAGCAAGCAAGTCAAACAATAAGTGGTTGTGAATAAGGCGGAAATTGTGAATGTTAGACTGGGTAAAAGATTAAGGAGAGTAAATCATACAATAATTATATATATATATATATATATATATATATATATATATATGCATTACGGGGTTGTGAAGATTGTTAAGTTACACATTTTTGAAACCATGTATCGACCATGTATCTTCTCCGAGTTCTAGTGGGAAGACGTGACCAGTGAAGTTCAACCTGTTCGGGTGTAGGCAGTGTCTACCGAAGACTGTGTATGGGGTTGCGCAACTCCGTGAATTTGATCAAGTTAGACATTAACAACGTTGGATACCGGCTCAGTGGTCTAACGGTCAGGGCGTTCGCGCACAATACCGAAGGTCCTGAGTTCGAATCCTGCGGGCTGCAGGAGTCGTGGATGCGCACTACCACTGAGGAGTCCCATACCAGGACGAGACGGCCGTCTTTCAGTGCTTCCAGGTTTCTAATGGTGGTCTAAGATTGATCGATACATGGTTTCAAAAATATATATGTATATCATAAAATAATTAACTTACTTTTTTTAAACTGGCTTGATTTAACTGTGTTTTATCAATCACTTTTACAGCAACCTGTAATCAAAGAATAATGAGATTATTATTAATTATTTTCTAGAACTCTTTTCATGATAACAGTAAAACATGAAAACAATTGAAACATTGAACATATTTTTTGTTTGGTTAAGCGTAAATCATTCATGATGAGCTATAAAAATTAATTTACACATACACATGCACACACACAGATATTTGAAAAATTAAGATGATCAAATTTTAACTATGTTCACTAGTTTCGGATGATTAAGTTATTGAATTGTTTATTTATTGATTTATGATTAATAACTGATGGATTCAACTGCAAAATCGTACACGAAGGACAGCTAACAGACTCATTCGAGGTGAAGACCGGTGTCAAGCAAGGTTGCTTACTCTCACCTTTTCTCTTTCTCCTGGTGATCGACTAGATTATAAAGACGTCAACATATGGAGGGAAGCACGGTATCAACTGGACAGTTAGGACGCAGATGACTTGGCTCTTCTATCGCACACGCAACAACAAATGCAAGAAGACCAATGTAGCAGCAGCAGGTCTCAACATACATAAAGGAAAAAACAAAATTCTCCGATGCAACACAACATGCACCAATCAAATCGCTTTTGATGGAGATGCCTTGGAGGACCTTTACATATCTTGGCAGCATCATCGACAACCAAGGTGGATCCCATGCAGATGTGAGGGCGCGGTTAGACAAAGTAAGGGCTGCATTCCTACAACTGAAAAATATCTGGAACTTCAAACAACTTTCAACCAAAACCAAAATCACGATTTTCAATACAAATGTCAAGATAAACTACGAAAGCCATCATCCAGAAGATACAAGTGTTTATTAACAGCTGTCTACGCAAAATACTTCGTATTCGTTGGCCAGACACCATCAGCAACAACGAACTGTGGGAGAGAACAAGTCAGATTCCAGTGGAGGAGGAAATCAGGAAGAACCGGTGGAAGTGGATAGGACACAAAATGAAAAAAGCACCTAACTGCATCACAAGACAAGCCCTCACATGGAACCCCCAAGGCAAAAGGAAAAGAGGAAGGCCAAGGAACACATTACGCCGAGAAATAGAGAAAGACATGAGAGGAATGAACGGTAACTGGAAGGAACTGGAAAGGGAAGCCCAGTAGAGAGTTGGTTGGAGAAAACTGGTCGGCGGCCTATGCTCGATTGGAGGTAACAGGCGTAAGTATGTAAGTCATACATAAATGATTAGGAATATTGACGAGAGATATTTTGCGATGTAGGAATAAATTGGAAGAAAGCTAGGTGCGGGAAAACCAAAACATTGCACAAATCCATGAAATCACTAACAAGTGAACTGTGTCATGTTGGTAGATGTAGGCTACGTGGTTGAGGTCAGCGAGACGTAAGTCATCAATGGTTTGAGACCTTGAACATGGCTCAAAATCGTTTGAAATGACGAACATGCATCCACTCTTTGTGTTCTCTCAAATTCTAACCTTTTGAATTCTTCATCATCTGTATCTTTCTCTTTCGAAATTTATCTCACTGAATTATACTTTTCGAACCCTAATCTTCTCAATTACTGCTAATACTGCTACTATCACTATCACTATGTGATCTGAAGTGACAATTACATCTCTTTGTGCTAATGCGGTATGATAACCTGAACTGTTATACATACGTACGAAGTTCTGTGTTATATCTGTCTGTCTATACACAAATGATTGAAATGTGTACACAAGATGCACTCAGATGTTTAGCTTGCATTTCAACTACAATTTTGGTTGCATAAATAAATCGAACGAAATACTTAAATATCTGTATAGATTGTCGACTAATAATAACTTATTTTTCCATGAGTCAGTCAGTTGCAAAGGTAGAAGCCGGTATGTTTGCACATCAGTTCTAGTTGTCTTACTATATATTAGCACAGAGAGATGCAATCGTCAGTTCAAATAAAAAAGTACGATTGGGGTGGTAACAGAAAACACTGGATATCAAAGATACGAGTCGATAAAATATAAACCAGTGAAACAAATTCTCAAAGGGAAAAAAGGTCGGCGCTAATTTTATCCCCTTTTATGATTTAATTACATCTAGGCATCATGTGAGCTTATGTCAGGTCGTGATAAAAACCTCCAACTGCAATTCCGAACGCTTGCATCCAGCTGTAGAAATTACTCCTAATCCGTCACACTAATTTATAACCGTCCCTTAGCTCTAGCAAACAGGCGAATATTCTCAAAGCCACTTCGGCATCGCCCAAAGGTCATCCATAGAATATAGTCTCACCACTCTTACACTAAACAATATAGCCTTCTACACTAAAGAGTATAGCATGTTAGGGTAGTCGGTCGTTTAGCATACGTAACACATGCCATTAGTGGGATCTGAATGCAGCGCCTTGAACCCTCGGCAATCCTGATTTTCCCTCATTACGTAACACCCTTTTCCTAACCGCAGCATCGCTTTACTTGATAGTCCCAGAATACATACATGAACAATGTTTTCAAAAACACCTATGATGATCTTATACCAACAATCCAACAAATGTTCTCTATGAATAATTATCGGGAAAAATAACACACACACACACACACACACAAAATAGTTCTTCATACAAAACCAACAAACAAAAATAACCAATGTTTACCTCACGTCCAGTAGAAACATGTTGAGCTAATTTAACTTTAGCAAAATTACCACGACCAAGTGTACGAATTAATTTATATTTGCCTACATTTGGTTGATCTCTTAATGATTTTCTATCAGCATTATGTTGAAATGATGAATTAGTTGGTTGATGATCATTGGTACCACCAGAAGTAGTAGTAGCAGGATTAGCAGTAGTACAGGAAGTTTTACGCATTAAACGTATTCCTGATGTATTCACAGTATTGGTTGTAGTTACACTAGGCATATTCTTGTTACTGTATGGCTTTTTTTTATTTTCTTTCCAATTAAAATGTCTTTAGTTATTAGCAGGAGGAGAGAGAGAAAAAAAGACACTATATACGAATATTATTATTAAAGTGTAGTTACACATTCGTTTTACTAAACAGCAAAATGTAAAATTATTCTTATTATATAGCATAACAATTCACGCACTACATTCACATGACAGATCTTATTAATATTAACGAAAAAATTAAGGATAACTGAATGAATAATGGATGAATTTTTGTTATCTTGTGAAAATGTGTATGTTCAATAGTACGTGTATATACACGTACAGATGTGACGCATATAGCTTCCGTATTCTCTTGTTCTGTCTTTTGGATACACGAATTTCGAATGGTGGAATATATATATGTATACATAGATGGAACGGATAGTCTAGATTGATAAGGACAACAAATTGCATCTGTTTATAAAACTTGAAATGTTTGTCCACTACAATATTTACAACTACGTCAAAGAAAGCTCATCAATTGCCCTACTAACAATAAAATATTGAAGACAGATCTTTTCTCTGAATAACTATTCAAGATATCTTGACAAGAACAAGAATGATAAGTTTTAAGTAATGGGTAAAAGATTTGAACATTTGATTTGGTAATTGAAAGCCGAGTGTTTTGAAAGACACTATAGTAAACCCCTTACTCACAATTACAGTAAAGCTATCAATTATCAATGACACTTTATTCATCAACTACTATGAATTCCCTAGTAATTCTAGATAAATTTTAATCTCACAATTCAAAGTAGAATGTATTATGACATGATAACGACAATTGCATACAAAGACTAGTCCTATCAAACAATTATACTAGGTAAAACAGTGAGGGGAAACCCAAACGGGGGTATGAACGAATCAAAATCAGATATAGACAATGCGACAATAACGCGATTTTGAGAGGCAAAAACAAATAACGATTTTAGTCGGAGGTTCTAGGAAAGAAAGGTAGGTCAATCAATAAGGTTATGGAAATCCACAAGCTGGAGTGACTACGTTGTGTGCTACGTACAGTAAGTCACCGTTGAACAAGACTGTCGGTGACCAAACGTATGTTACGTAGAAAGAAAGCCATGAGCAATTAAACCAAACAACACGACACCATATTTTGAAGTCACTGACTACAGGTCTGATTTCTATAGAGGTAGGGAGTTCCCGGTTGGTTAATTCATCACTACTGATTTTGAATTTACACTGAAAAAAAAATACTCGGCGCAACAAAACATCAATAAACTTTTCACAGAGCTACTGACATTTTTATTTTCAGTTGTCATGAATTAATTAGACAAATTGAAGCTGAAGAGCTTTAATCTAAGTAAGTGAATTTTTAAATGGACTATTTTGGAGCCTCTAGTCTGAAGATTACATCAGCAAGGCAGTGGATAAAAATGCATAGTCATCGAGGCCAGTGCTGGAAGTAAGCACAGCGTGCACTTCTCCAAGATACTAGAGCCTACATATACACAGGTTAGGAGTTACGGTTTTCCAACCTGCAAAAATAAATGTCAGCTGTGTGGCACCAAGAAATTGACAATCTGATGGATTACGAAGTTGAATTGAATGCACATCATAAATCCAAAGTTTTAAATCATTATTCGCAATCGCTTTCCAGATTAAACTTATTCCTGTGAAGAATTCATGTTTAATGAGTGACATGTTTTTCTTCTGCTAGAAGTTCATTTGACATCTCAATGCGACAGACAGACAGGTATAACTCCCTGGAATGTGCTGAAAAGGGGTTCAGAGATGGTGTGAAATGTGACACAAATTGGTCAGATTTAAGTCCCCTTGCTTTCTAACAGTATGTAATTAGACAGGACTGATGGAAAGATAACAGCCTAAGTCAATGATCTACCACTACATACTACAACTTATCCGACTTTCTTCGACTTAACGAGTTATTCAAAGTTTCCAAATACTCAGACAGCATCATTAGAGTAGCTCAAGTATATTGGCGTATTACTCAGTGGCATATGAACCCGAAAATTGCTTTAAGTGGGGGTGTATCCGTTTTTTAGAGCTTTAAATAATGTAAAGACTTTATCGATACACCTTATCTTAGATTTTAACTCTTGATTTTTAACTTGCTGGGCTCTAGCTTTAGATAGAGTAGGTGAGATCAACTATTTAAAAGAATATGCCCATCGGAACGAGTTTAGGGGTAATCATCAAATGGTAATTTCTTGGCAAATTGCGATACCAAGTGCTGAAATATCAAGTTGAGAGCTGTATTAATTATTTTACAAGATCTCCTGTTGCGATTTATTCTTCCGAGGTAAGAAGAGCTTATAATTGTTAGTTTTCAGTGATCAGTAAAACATATTAGTACCCATTAAGTTATCCACTCAACTCAGATAGGTTTAGTTGATACTATCAATACAGATCAGAATCTGGTGACAGTTTAGTATTTTAGTCTTAAAAGTAAGAAAATATCAGTCTATTCATACAGCTACTAAGTATGAGATTGAAATGTGTTTAATAGGAGACAATGAGGGCCAAACAACCCTTAAAGTCAGTAATAAGAGATACTCCTGTCTTTTTTACTGTAGCTTAGGTCATAGATGCAGCGTTGTGATGTCACATTCTATTCAATTATTCATTTAATCTCAAATACTGTCATACGGTTGAGTTGCATTACACATCCAAAACCTACAAATTCTCTCGACATACAGGCTAGTATCACTAACTCTTAATTAGTAAACTGCAACTCAAAACTTAACACACATGAGAGAAACTCATTCACACAACGATAGCTGGTAGCATGTTGGCCTGAGTAAAATACCTACAGAGTAATAATGCTTATACTCCGGTTGATTACATGAGCCACTAAGTGAAAATCGTAAAAACTAACAGTTGGGTTTCGAAAACACTTTTACTGAGTAGATACTTCGAAGGTCACAGCTTTTTAGGCCGAGTGCATATAAGTTTGTTTCGCAGGTAATAAACTCCAAGATATGTACTAAAAAAACCAAAATGCTTATCAACAACATTAAGAAAAGATCATGATCGTATTATTCAATAGGTTCTTTTATAATTATAACTATACAAGTGAATTTTCGGAGATGAAAACGACGTCCTAGGTATTCCAACTTGTAAGTAAAACTAGTTTTAAATGAGCTATAGTGTATATAGAGTGTAAGTCCTTGTTCTAATCATATGAAATTGAGGTAAAAACAATTCAAATGATAAAAAAACGATTGGTCACATACCCAGCAGGTGATTTACTGATATCCAATAGATGTGCAGTCACACAAACTAGGAAATACCGAACATAGTCCTAACAAACAACCACATTCTAACTAACCGCTCAACACTTGAAGTCAACCAAACAACCTATAAACTCCAAAGTGAACCAAACATTCGTCAACAAAACTCAGGAGTGGTTCAGTCACTGGAATTTTTTCGCGTACCAAAGGATGAAAAATACACTCGGGAAGGAAAAATAGCGAAAAACAAGTAGAAGAAGGACGAAAAATCTCATACATTCATGCCACAAAGTTCTCCAATATCAGTATCTATTTCACTAAATAGTATACACCGAATGATTTCTCTGCTCCCCATTCTTTTCCCCCAGAGTAGATTTCCGGGAGTTTTGTACAGCCCTATGGGTGATACTTCACCCAGTCGACTTCAATGATCCCAGCCAGATGGACGTAACTAAAATTTGAATGTGCTCTGACATGAGTTAGAACATTCAACTAAGGAAGTAGGGTTTCTAGGTAAAAGCAGCTATCGCATTATCAAGCTGCCGATCACTCAGCTGCAGCGTGAATGATAATAGGGAGAAAATACTAATGCTGATGAGGAGATTTCCGAATTAGGTAAATGTGTCAGTTGCATAAATTAGGCATATCTAGTCGAAGAGGGACATTATAATCCATATGTGACTAGGTGTATATCAAGTATCATATCAAGTACCTTTAACCGAAAAGAATATGCATTTCAGTAGACTTCACTATGAAATATCACTTTACTTATATAAATTTAAGGTCCGGACACTCGAATCATCACACGATCTCAGTATTCACCACTCAGAAATCCTTAAATTCCATGAACGTGCCGCTTATCTCGAAATCTATGACACTTAAGGGATTCATAAATAGGAACTTCTTGAAAAATGAGGCAAAGCTTACCCTCTTCAAAATTTGTACAAAGCAATGCAATGCAAACAACATCTACATCAAAAAAAAAGATATTGAGCGAGCTGATCGAACACAGTGAGCTTGAAAGCATTATTTGTTATCTACAATCAAAGATGCAAGCATCTTTCCCTAGAACCTTTGTGGTGTCTTCGACTCAAAAGAAACCCAATGCTTTTCTGCAGAGTGATACATGGCCTCTCGTTTGTAACATCTCTTCCAGTTATGAACCACGACCCTCTTTACCGACTCAGAAACAAAGCATGTACATAAATTACAGAAAAATACCAAAAGCCAACGTAGTACAGAACAGACTACCAATTTATATGCTTATCTGTGGCAGAACCACCAGTTTTAAAATACTATTAATTCTGTTGTTAGAATCTAAAGAGACTTATCAACTGATTCCAGAACCACCACATAATCCAAAGGCCCTTTAAAGTCCACCTGATATCTAGACTTGTCACAGAAGCTGTTAACAGACTATGAATATATTGTACTCCCCAATGCCATTCATGCAAGTATCACCAAACGATGGATACCTGATTCCCCTACTCCTATTAACAGTGGTAGGTTACTCCTTTATGCTCCTACCACCCTCTTAATTATTATCTTGTTATCTGTTGTATCACTTTTAGTTTTGTTTATAGCTGACATAAAACTTATAAAGCCTATAGATGCTGCTCAACTACCGCCGACTACAAGAAACTCAAATTATCCTAAATCACTGTGTGTTCCTTCTAGTTCATGTATAACCAGTTTACGAAATTTTTATATCCATAGTTTATCACTCCTCAAAAACCTTGCTCTCGTACTTACTAATCTCCTTACTGATTAATTTTTAACACTTTCTTTCATCATATCCTTTCGTCAGCTGCCTATCCTTCCCATCTCCAAACTACCTGTCAACTGACATTTACCTTAAAATGTATACCATTGGTTAGCTTAATATCAGTGTCATATGCTAGATGGATATAAAATCCATTATACAGAATCTAAAGTTGTCCGGTTTGCTTATGACATGGAACTGGTCTGTAACAGGCTAGATACTCCTTATCTCCTATTCTAAACATTAGGGAGAGTAGCTTGTTTCCATTCAGCTAGGAGTTGGTGTGACTCCAGTGAATGCACAAACGGATCACATACCAGTGAACTGAGGGCCTCTGCACACTGTTCCAAGACTACAGTGACAATATTGTCACATCATGGTGACTTTCCTAAGCGCAAGGAATTTAGTTTTCGTAGTACTGTCAGGAGTAAGTCGGATATTCCGTAGGCTACCAGCAGGAGATGACAATAATCCAAGTTTGGTGGTTTTCTATCCCTACTCCATCTGTGGGCGTTGCATACATGCTCAGTCAATAAGGGATATTTAATGCCCGTGACAAGTCACCACTGAGGCAGTGTTCGGGAGTTCTACCCTGTTTGGCCTCTGTGACTATGCATCTCAATCCATTGCCTTGCTGATGTAATCTTCGGACTAGAGGCTCCAAAATAGTCCATTTAAAAATTCACTTACTTAGATTAAAGCTCTTCAGCTTCAATTTGTCTAATTAATTCATGACAACTGAAAATAAAAATGTCAGTAGCTCTGTCAACACTTTCTTGATGTCTTGCTACACAAAGGATTTTTTCAGTGTAAATTCAAAATAAGTAGTTATGAATTAACCAACCGGGAACTCCCCACCTCTATAGAAATCAGACCTGTAGTCAGTGACTTCAAAATATGGTGTCGTGTTGTTTGGTTTAATTGCTCATGGCTTTCTTTCTACGTAACATACGTTCGGTCACCGGCAGTCTTGTTTAACGGTGACTAACTGTACGTAGCACACCACGTGATTACACCAACTTGTGGAATTCCATAACCTTATGGCTTACATATTTTCTGTAAAAGGCTTTTCAGTTACTTTATTATTTCATAAGAGACATTGGCTTCATATTGTAGGCTTAAATATTACACGTGATACTATTTCGTTTCCTCCCATAGTATGTTGTTGCTGATGGATCTGAAGTATTTTGCCTGGACAACTGTCAATGAATACTTGTATCTTCTGGATGATGGCTTTGGTAGTTCTTCAAGTTTCCGCCCGGTACAGCAGAACTGTTTTGAAATTTGTATTGAAAATTCTGATGTTGGTGTTGGTTGATAGTTGCTTTGAGTTCCAGATGTTCGTCAATTTTAGAAATGCTGTCCTTGCTTTGCCGATGCACGCTTTCACATCTGCATCCGATCCACCTTGCTCGTCAGTGATTCTACCCAGATATGTAAAGGTTTTTACGGTCTTCAATGCATCTCCACCAACAGTGATTTTGTTGGCTAATGTTGTGACGTATTGGAGAACCGTGCTTTTCTCTTTGTGTATGTTGAGAAGTTTTGTTTCTAAGGCTGCTGCTACACTGGTCGTAATAATAATAATAATAATAATAATAATAATAATAATGATAATAATAATAATAATTTATTCTCAAATAACAAACATGTTACAAGAGACATGCCAATTTACAGGCAAGATCAAAATGTTAAGATTAGCAACATATTTCTTTTAAAACGGTATACAGTTACTGAAACATTTCACAAGATTCATTGTATTCTTAAAGATGGAATGTACAATGCGAATAATTGGCGCAAGTTACGAAGGTTGCGTTACGACAATCATCTTATGGACTGAGAAACGATTCATGGTAGAGATAGGTTTTCATACAACAAGAATTGATGCGGTAAGTGTACAAAGGTCTGGTTGATATTCATCAGCTAATGATTTCATATGTTCCTGGGTAGGGTAATCAAGTCTACTGCAAATATCCAGACAAATATATGTGGATTGGAATAAGGTTCTGAAAAAAGAGGAATAAAGTAAACGGGACGAGGAGCGGAACAGAAAATATTCGTGTTCAAAGCCGAACAACGGCTTCGCACATACGTTTCTGGATAAAACAAAGGTATGTTTACTCAGACTTTTTTAACAAAAACTAAACACCTGCACTTATGTAGGTTAATGAAGATAATTCAGTGGTGAGATAACTAATGGGAAGTTAGTCGAATGAATAGAGGAAATTCAGAAGAACCAAGTTGTTAATAATAATGTTGATTTACATCTTGTCTTGTATTTGTTGTTGCGTGTTCGATAGAAGATGCAGATCATCTGTGAGGTCCTGATCGTCCAGCTGTATCCTGGCTGTCCATCGGATAACGTGCATCTGTCCAGATGTTGACGTCATCATAATCCATTCGATCACTGGTCTTCACCTCGAACGAGTCTGTAAGCTGTCCTCTGTGAACGATTTTGCATTTCAATCCATCAAATGAATTTCATATGATGTTGACTATCTTCTCAGGCACGTCATAGTGCCAAAGAAGCCTCCATAGTGTTTTCCTGTCCATGTTATCGAATGCTTTCTCGTGGTCAATGACACTGAAGTAGAGTGGTGAGTTCGAAGTCTTACTGTTCTAGGAATATTTACTTCAGTCCTAGCTTTAGAGGATTTCCTTCTATCACTTTAAGTCTGAACACTCACTGTCCATATCATACAAACATTACTTACAAATAACTCCAAAAACATGTCACGTTGATCTCAAAAAAATTCAGTTTTTTCTTATTGCATGCGAAACCTCTAAAGGATACAAATCGGTTACAAAAGTGGATAAAAAACTTTTCATGAACAGTTATTCATGTTTTTGGTACTCTGATCTTCCTACTTGCTCAGCTAATGACTTCACTAATAGCCAGTTACCACCTAAACACATTCTGCGCTTTAATAGGAGTAGAATTATCAGTGACAGAACAAAAAATACAACTCCAAATCACAAATAGCAGACCGTCTATGCAGATCAATCCGTACACTAGTAATAGTTACAATCACAATCGTTATACTATCACCGCAACACCTACCTCTACTCCTCCCAAAACCGAGAACAGACCCAATGAGACCACTAGTCTAAAGATCTGTTCAATAAATAAAAGAGATGCGACTTGTCCCGAGTTAAAATGTCCATCTACCTCTGACCCACAAGTCAGTGGCACCTCTGTAATGCATCAACACTGTTCTAAAGATAACAGGAAAGACCTAGTGGTTCGACGTAGCAGTTACTCTCTCTCAGGAAACCCACTGCACTTTTCAACCATCTGCCGACATCACTCCACAAACCCAGTCAGCAAAAAAGCTCGCC